TTATTTCTTTCTTGCTCTCTTTTCACAGGATGATGACCTGATGGACTGGTGGAAAACTGTTGCGGGTGAGTTGGGTCAAATTACTTGACTGCCTATTATGGACATGCAAAACTACATGTTTTCAAAAATGACTAGTCTCCTAGAAGACCAGCCTGCTAATCTTTCTTAAAGAAGTCCTTGTATAATTAGGCTTATATATAAGAAAAAAGTAGATGAACCTCTCTAATCTTAGTCGACTAAAATTTGTCAGCTGGACGATTGGTCAATCTTTGTTCCTCATCTCTGTTACTATACCTAGTTTAGATCACTGTTAGAAAATTCATATGATTTACTGACTTTTGACAGGTTGGAGTGAATGGAATAAAACAGCAAATTTTCAGGACGAAGACGAGAAGCTGTGAGTAAATGTGGATTTTTTAAATCGTCTAATTGCCGCCAGTGACCACTGATCTTTTTTAAAAAATGTTTTGCCAGGGCTGTCGAGGCTGCTGCAGACCGTGTGTTCATGGCGGCCCGTCTCTTCGTCAGCCTGTTCAACCAACGTGGAGCTTCTCTGCAACGTCGCATTTTAGAGTTGCTTGCTCTGGCGGACACTGCTGACAGCTTCCATAAGAAGACCGTGAGCGCAGCTGTGGGAGGGGGTGTAGCTAGTGTGGCAGGGGGCATAGCCACCATTACTGGCCTCATCCTGGCACCTTTCACCTTTGGCACTTCCACTATCGTCACTGCAGTGGGTATCAGTGTGGCAACAGCTGGAAGCATCACCTCAGCCACAGCTAATATCACGGATGCTGTTCAGTCCAAGATGGATCGCAAGAAGGTGGAGAAGATGATCCAAGGCTACCAGAATGAGATCAGTGACATCAGAGATTGTCTGGAGTTCATGCAAGTATGTTTAGCATTCCATCTGTGTGTCATCTCTCTGTATGCCAGTCTGTCTATCTGCGTCTCACTTCTGATTTTTCTTTTGTATATGTAGGAAGGAATGAACACTCTGCAGGAATGGGATTTTAAGGGGTACTCTGAGAGTGTGGTCAACACAAGTCTTAGCCGTAACATAAAGCATGTAATGAAGGAAGGTGGACGAGCAGGTAAAGCCCTTATGATAAACACTGATAGGCTTATCAACACTGTGAAAGTTCTAGGTGTTGCAGGAGGTGCTGCCAAAGCCGCCAAGGCCATCAGTATCACCACGGGGGTCATGTCCACTCTCTTCCTCGCCCTGGATGTCTTCTTTCTTGCCAAAGACTCCAATGAACTTCACAAAGGTGCCAAGACCAAATTTGCCTCCAAGATCCGGGAAGTCTGCAAAGAGCTTCAACATGGCCTACTGGAACTAAACAAAGTGAAGACTCAGCTTCAAAAGACCATGGATGGAATTGAAGTGGAAGAATATGAGGAAGAGGAGGAGGATGAAGACCGATGCGAGTCAGATCCTGTTAAACTAGCTCTGCTTGAGCAAGAAATTGATCAGTTGGAGGACAAACTTGACCAGAAAACTATGCAGCAGCAAATGAACCAAAGCAAGAGAGGAGATTCTGAGAAAGAGACCCCAAAAAAGAAATAAAATGAGGAGTCAAAGAGACAAGTCAATGAGCTAACATATAGAAGCAACAAAAGCACTAAATTCAAAGATTTGAAAGAAAAAAAGGAGAGTGGGAAGAAACAAAAATGAAGAGGAATAATGCATTTTATTTGAAAAGACTTGGAGTGATTTAGAATATAGAAAAAAGAAGACTTTACACAGATGTTAAGGGGTTGATTATAAGAAGAATTGAACACTTCTGGGTTAAAGAGACAGAAAGAAAAGAATTAAAATGAAAGCAAGAGGGGATAAGAAGCCTATAAACACTCATGTGTTATTCAGGAAAATCAAAGTGACAGATTATATACTTAGAAGTAAGAGGGAGCAAAAAGAAAGACAACTAGATTTGCATTTCTTCAAATAAATACCATTGGATGGAAGGCAGCTCATGATTCATGTTAAAGTTTTAAGTAAGACTATAGGTTTCAGGTTTTAATTCTATATAAATCAAATGCTGCATCAGAAACATTTTGCCACTCAGCACCATAGACTGTATCAGCACGCATCTTTTATTTTCTGTATGCTACACACGGTCAACCTAGATTCTTGTTGTAATTCAACTTAAATTGTTAAATATATGATGATCACAATTAAGTTAAGATAATCAAAATTAAGTATGCAGACAAAACATTCAAAATGAATTTTTAGTGATTGTGGGTTTAAAACAAACCACCAAACTTTGATATTTAAGGTACAGTTCAGTCTTGCAAGCATTGTAAATAAATTCATGAGAATATGTGTGAAAAGTAGACCACTGTAAAAATGTGAAGGGCTAACAGCATAAGTCAAAAACTTTACCCTCAACCTGTTTCCCACAACCTATAGTCTATAATTAAGATTTTCACAATTGGCTAGTGTGGTTTACAACAGAAAAAATCTGTTTGTTTCAGTTCCTGCAGAATTATATCCAGGAAGCATTATTTTGTAGCTAAAAAGGCATCTGGATTTATTTTCTTTATGATTCTGGAAATGAGCAGTTATTGGAGCTAGTTCATGTGTTCCAACACTTGAATCTTTGGGGTATGTGCAGGTGACACAAGTTTGAATTATGGTCTTATTTCATCCTCTCTGCCCACTAAATAAAAATGGCAAAAAAAAAACAAAAAAAATTGCACTTTTTATGCATCAAAGATGTAATATATTTTTGTTATTTTCTGTATTATTTATTTTTATTGTATATTGTACATACATTTTATAAGCATTTTTTTATTATAAAAAGCATTTTTTGTTTTCTGTTAATCAGTTAACAGGTAGGTTGTTTGATTTAGATTTATTTCTAGAATGCTTTGTGTAGTAATTTTTCTCTGGATTTATGCAATGCATAAAGTGTTTATTATTTTTTAAAAATAAAATGCAGAATGAGTTTTTGTATTTATTTAGTAATAAATAGCTTAGCCCTTCTCTTATAAAACACCAATTTATTCAATCCAAAATGAATCTTTATTGGCAAACCTGTTGAAGATTAGCCGACAGGCTGTCGAGTCATTAAGTTATGAGATATTTCCTCACAAGTTTATTCAGCGTACTCTGAAATCGAGATTAGCATCTATCTATTATGACAATATCATCTAAAAACAGCGTTGAGCTTCTTTTTGCTAACCTTTAAGTCTAAGGGCCTCTGATAAAAGCCACCTGCAGCAGAGCCATAAGTCACAGCTAGAGCTGTGAATGAGGATGCTTCTGCAACCTCAAATGACAAATGGGACTCCATACACAGTCTCATAAACTTTTAACACGTACGAGCTTTGCACTTCACATCAACTGTGGCATTTGTGACGGGGCCTCATGTTTCTCTGCTTGTGTGTACATATAGGACTAAGGCTGAAAGAAAGGGAGAGGGTGCCCTCTGCTGTTGAAGAATATGTTTGGTATTTAGGGTATTTATAGTTTTTAGGTATTAAGGTGTTTCTTTTTTTTAACTATTATAGTATGATGGCATCATCTCTTCTCAGAAGATTATATGATGACATTTGAGAGCTAAGCATTTGCACAGTCCTACACATCAGAACCAAACATGAGTAAACTTGCATTCGTTAAATGATCAAATTAACCTGAATGTGCTTCATTACAGGGGACAGCAACAAACTAGATATAAAGCTATCAAAAAGCTTAATATTTTGGGTTACAAATAAGAAGCAGGACTTTTTTTTACCCTTCACTTTGTGCTTAATGCTTCACCTGCATTAATGTTCTGCTTAAACACAGTATTTTAGATTGCAAGTTTAAAGAAATACTGCTGCAACCTACAAGCAATATTTACTTGCAATATGCATTTCCAATATCCATTAAATATGTTTGATGGAAAGAAGCAAACTAATGTTACATAATGTTCTTTACTTTATATAACCATCGACTCACTGCCCCTAGGACATACAATTCAGCTTAGGATATACAGTTCTTGCTATTGAAGCATATATTTTAGACTGAGTCACACGGAGAAAAAAGAAACAAGTGTGGGTTAGAGCACTCAAGTAGACATAAGCACACGCACAGGAAAAGAAGTACAGGGCAATACAGGACAAGATAACTGGCCAACAGTAAAATATGTCATACTTTATATAAAATGTATAGAATAATAACAGATGTATTCAATTATTGCATTGGCAGTGACTATTTGAGAACGATCAAACACGGATGACATTTTCATCACACCTGTCTCAATGCAATTACAGACATCATTTGTCCCATTAACTGTGAGATAATCTTGAGTGCTCTCATTATTATGAGCTATTCTGAGATATCTGTAGAGACCGTTTTAATTATAGGGGAAGGAGAAAGAGAAAGACACTTAAAATAGATCAAAATGTTACACTTTCCTTTATAATCATCTTCATTTGAATCACCAGTTCCCAAAAATTCAAGGATCTAGTTTCATGTCTGTAATTTCTGGCATTAAAGCAAAAATGAAAGCATTATGCTAATTTCAGTGAGTATGACGTGACTTAAAAAGGTTCTCGACCTTGTGCTAAATTCAACCAGCCGGTAAAATACAGTAAACTGAACAAAAAAGTTATACTTTGCCTGTTTCACATGTATTTCAAATAAATTTGAAAATAACAAGCTACTTAATTTTATACGGTGTCTTGATTAAATCCCTGTCCAAAAGGCAGAAATATGCAAGATATGGCTATGTCAGGTTATTATATATATTTTTCTGTAATCAAATAATCATTATTTGGTCTGCTGTTGATATAAAGAAATTTCGGTAACACCTTACAATTAGGTTTACAGTAATGCATTAAATAACATTAACAGCGAGCAGTTCCTTTTTTACTGTATTTATTAATTTTTGTTAACATTAGTTTAAAAATACAACTGTTAATTAATGCTTAGATCCTTTAAATAATATTAACCAATACAACTTTTGATTTTAATAATGTATTAACAATAATTAACATTAATAAATGCTTTAGAAGTATTTCATTGTTAATTCATGTTAAAGTAGTTAACTAATGACAAAAAAGATAATGGTATTACCGAGATTTCCTTATTTTTTCAAATGCTTCTCATTTTAAAAGAAAAGAAAAACAAAACAATTAACAGCTACCTCTAAGAATACATTTACAACTAAGCTACTTCATATCTATATTGCTAATTCACACCAACATGTTTTACTGTAGGTGCAGTGCAACATTTGGTCATTCACTGCGCTTTGAATTCTTACGTTTATATTAATTACATTTGTTCTGTTGCATCAATGATATACTGAATATATTAAATAATAGATGTGTGTTGCACATGTCAGTAACTGACGCTCCTATCTATATTTATGTCTACAGGAGAGGATAGAAAGGATGGAGACAAATCTACACAAATACAACTAGAACAAAATCTGCAATGTCTTTTAAAGTGAAAATCCTTCCCTATTCTTATGTCCTAAACTCTAATCAACCCAGCATGTTGATGCCACTGGACTGTCATTTGTTTTCCAAACCCCTAATTTCCCACCCACACATGACTTTTCCCTTTCCCCTGTCTCTTCCTTATTAAATCTCTTTCCATTTTGAATATTGTGGAAGGTTTTTATCCTCTGCACTGATTCTTTCAATTCATTCTTCCCTTTTCTACTTCTTTTTTTTCTGGAAGCGTCTGAACTGACTCTGTATTGCCAAAGCTGCCTTTTCCGTCTCTGGCGCATCCAGATCAATGTCGATCTCTTCTTCGGGTTCTTGTGTAGGGTTCTTCCCCGCTTTGTCCACTGGTTTCTCCTGGGGGGCTGAGGGGCACATAGAAACATTGACAATGTCAATGGCATAGTAAAAGGATTTCTTACATTTTTGAAGCCAGTGTGCCCCAATTCAGGTTAAATCCTGTTGCATAAATTGTTTATACATTTTAATACCACAGAACTGTAATGTATGCAACTATTCTAATATCTCTTAACAGAACATATTTTCATGGTTAAAACTGAAGTGTCTATTTGTTTCAATGTTTAAATATTTTCTTGTATCTTAGATTAATATGCATGGATGTGCCAAATCCTGGAAATGAGTTGGCATTTTATCACTTCCGGTTTCATCTACCCAAAGTCCATGTGTTTTTTAACTGGATTTTTGGTTAAATGACTAAAATAAGGCCAGTAGTTAAACAAGCTTAAGATATTTTAACATTTTTAAAATATATAAGTAATACTCCCTTTACTTTACTTGTGTTGAAAAGGAAGCTACAGAGTTTGTCGGGAGCATTTAATGTCATCACGCCGAACAGGTATTCATCTACTCACTAATTTGCTTTCACAGCTCTTGGGAGCTATTCTAATTCAGATTTATTTATGTAATAATTTTTTTAAAATAACATAACATTATAAATAAAGACTAAAAGTTGTTGGAAGCTTAATGGTGGTGATGTTGAAGTTATGCGACTGTGGGATAGTTGGTTTATAGCCTACGTTTAGCTTTTTAATTAATTTTTGCGATTGCATTTAGCCTTCAAATTTCTTAAAGATGTGTTCATTTGTGAAGATTATTATTATGAACAAAACATGTAAGAATAATAAACTTTTGTTGGTCACAGAGCTTATTTTTTGCAATAATCTAAAAGCCAGTGTAAAACATCCTATTGGGTTTTTGTCGAGGGAAACCAGGGTGATGCTAACTTCGGGGTTGGCCTACAAAAATACATAATCACTGCAGCACACTATTTGCAATTATTTTTATTCAACCAATTTTTGCACTTCTGTTTGGTGTCACTAGACTAGAGGCACACAAATGACACACTTCAGCTTAAAGGGATAGTTCACTCCAACTGACTTCTATTGTATGGACAAAACCAGCTGAAACATTCTTCAAAATGTCTTATTTTTAAATGAAATGCTGATGGGACATGCAACGTTAGGGCTTTGGTGAGATGAAAGGGTAAGTCAGCTGAATATACACTGACCTTATGGGAATAACCAACCTACACTAGACTGCAATAAAGAACTGTCTCCTGAGTGAATGCGTGCTTGAGTTCTCATGGGTATGCACGTGTGCTTTTTTGTTAAGAGAATGGAGAGAGAGAACTGAACTGATCCTTTACGATAAAAATAGTAAAAACAGATAAAAAATCAGACTGAACTGGTAGACATCTGTATTGTGGTAGGTTACACTTATATTTGTACAAATATAAACCTGGCCTTATGTAACCGTACAATTCTGGTGGAGAACAAAACATGGAGGAGTTTTCAAGAAGTCAATTATGAAAAATTCAAACGTGGTGTAATGAAACGCATAAACGCACCTTTTTTATCTGTGTCGGGCCCCTGAGTGCTGTTGGGAGGATCAGATGAACTGTTCTGTAAGAACGAGACAGCAACTACCAGGTTTATCGTTGTGTGAAAGCATTTATACATGCAGTATAAACAAAAACAACAACATTTGTGAAATTTTATGTGGTCTGCCATTAAAGGGGTCATATGATGCGATTTCAATTTTTCCTTTCTCGCTGGCTAATCAGAGCACACCTCGCTTTTCAGACCGATTAGTTTTGTAAAAATCGACGCGTTTCAAAAAGGCGGGCATAGAGGAGAAACAATAATGTACAGTATGTGGAAAATAATGTGTTTTTTTAACTTTAAACTTCATAAACACATTTCATTACACCAAATACACAAAATAATGTTCTTTTTAGCAGCATCATATGACCCCTTTAAATTAAACGCTGATATGAGCTTTATGAGTCGTGTGTTAGGATTCTGAGTGATAAAGACCCCTTAATCCCCATCGGTTTAATCCTCCTTTTTCAATTCTGTGTGCAATCTGGAACAGTGGCACTCAGCCCTGGAGAGGATCCCATAACATGCAAGCTTAGTGTGTCTGTGTGTGTGTGTATTTTATATATATATATTTTAAATTAATTTATCCTTGATGACATTTGTAATTGAAGAACAGGAATCCAATAAACATTTACATTTATGGTCCACAAATATCATATCTATCTGTTTAATATATTAAATGAAAGTGTGCTTTTGTATTTTTGTTAAAGAGAGAATCCGTCACCATCCTTATGTTGCCTTTTCAATGCGCACAGCATGAGTAAACTACTTGAGGCCAAAATGCATTCAGTATATCTGTGACCTTGCTTCTTCAATTACGAGAACAAATTAGCCTTGAGATGATGTCCTAGATTTGAGTTATTCATATAGACACTGACATCCAAAATGTGTCAATTTATGTTCATGTATTTCTTGCGTTACTTAATTGAATGTGTACTTTCAGCAATGAATTGATGGTTAACCTGAGAAACTCCATGATATTTGCTTTAAGCAGTTAATATACTGTAAATACTTCTTACATATTATCTATAGAGCACAGAAAATGTCATCAAGGGAGACGAAATAGAACATTGCCTAAACACACACACACATACACATATTATCCACTCTCTTGCTTCAAGGGACTCTTTCAAATGCAAATCTCTGCAGCCCTCCCTCTATAATCCTTTTTTTGTTTTGTTTTTTGGAATGAGAGAACCTCTTCACCTTACCCTAACTCTGAATCTGCCTCAGCTTCCTCTCTCTAGTATGTTTTAAAGCATCCCATCCAGCCAGCTGGCGCCCAGTGTTGTCCATAACTTTTTCTCTGCTATATTACCTTACCTTATTTTCACTCTCACACATCAGTGATACACACCAGCCTCACACGGCACAATCTCCATCTGCTAATTAGCCAAGCTCATATCAGCAAGGTCAAGCTCCCCTGAGCCACTTATTAATTGGCAATTAATGGGACACACAAAAAGAATGTAAAGCACCACATTTTAATTTTAAACCAGGGGAATCTAAAGATTAATATTTTCTCATTGAGTAAAAAGCACTGTATAATGCATTGTAAAATGTATAAAGGGATGGCTTAGCTGTCAAGCCACCTCTAATTTCTCTTCAGTAAAGATGAAAAACATAACCCTTTTATATTTCTCAAGAGAAATTACTGAAGAGAAATTAGAGGTGGCTTGACGAAGCAATGTACTCTTCAATACAACCTACATGGCTCAAAGGATTTAAATTATTTAACCCTTTTTTGGCCTCAACAAAGAATATATTCACATCGAAGGTAATACCATAGATATTTATTATTTTATTATGAAATTCGAATTAACTTTGAAGTAACTCTGGTTTATCAGATTTAAAATAACAAACGAACACTCACCTCACTCATAGTTCTGAGAGAAGTCGAATGCCTTGTTGGGCTCGCGGGAGAATTTGTAGCGTGACTCGGAAACACTAAATAAATTTAATCGAAATTTCTCCTTTTTTTGTCCGGGTGCTTTAAAATTATGTCAGAACAACTGAACCGAGAATATTATGCTGAGAACTGAATCTCAATTTCTCATCCCGGAAAACACGCCCCTGCGCGCGCGCGCTCTCTCTCTCTCTCTCTCTCAAATTATGTCAGAACAACTGAACCGAGAATATTATGCTGAGAACTGAATCTCAATTTCTCATCCCGGAAAACACGCCCCCGCGCGCCCGCGCTCTCTCTCTCTCTCTCTCTCTCTCTCTCTCTCTCTCTCTCTCTCTCTCTCAAAAGATCAGATATTGGGCAATATTTTTATCTGTATAAACAGGTTATGTTGTTGTTTTTATTGCTGTTCTGTTTCTGTAATTATAATTATAATACGATAAAATATTTTTATGAAAACTTATTGTTATGATTATTTATTATTACTATTGCATTCTTGATTATTATCATTAATTAATCAAAATAATATTTTCAGATATGGTCAGATATTGGGCCATACTTTTACTTGTATAAATAGGCTGTTTTTATTACTAATGATCAGTGTTGGGGGTAACGCATTACAAGTAACGCGAGTTACGTAATCAGATTACTTTTTTTCAAGTAACTAGTAAAGTAACGCATTACTTTTTAATTGACAAGAGAATATCTGAGTTACTTTTTCAAATAAGTAACGCAAGTTACTTTTTTTTTCCAATTTATTGATTGACAGCTCTCCTGTCCCCGTGTTGAGAGAAATCAGATGTTACTGTAGTTCAAAATAAATATGAATATGCATTAATTCATCTCACTCACAAAAAAAAACACAGATTCAGTATTTCCTCAAAATGAATAAAAATAATGCAACTCAGAATATGACGCAAACCTGCAATAATTAAATGTTAAACAACACAAATATCCTTTATGTATTTAATCCCATTCTATTTGCTTCTGACCTTCGATGATCCAGTTCAACCGTACTAATAAGAACAAATGACTCTAGACAAACATTTGTGTGTCTTTTTTTATTGCTGAAGTGTGTTGAAATTTCTTCTTCTGCGTTCTACTGTACGGACGTAAATGTACTTTCCCTTCAGCCTGAGGCTTATTCATTTCACTTTTGGTGTGAAAAGGCTTTTATATTTGCCAAAAATATAACTTTTTTATTTTAAAAACAAACAAGCAAGCCCTGTCCAGATTTTAAAAGTAACGCAAAAGTAACGTAACGCATTACTTTCCATAAAAAGTAACCAAGTAACGTAATTAGCTACTTTTTATGGAGTAACGCAATATTGTAATGCATTACTTTTAAAAGTAACTTTCCCCAACACTGCTAATGATGAATGTGCAATTAATATAATAATGATGATGATAATAATAATAATAATAATAATTTTGTGATTATTTTCGGAATATTACGATGAAAATCATCGTCATAAACGTAAATGGCGGATTCGTAATAAATATTGAGAGAAAAAAATCTTAGTGTGTGTGTGTATTTTTAGTGTGAACATAATGTATCACATTTATCAGCGTGTATAAGCGCCGCTATGCTTGTGAATCTAGACTCACTTCCGGAGAACGAGCGTCTTGCCGGAAAAAGAAAGAGAGAAAAAAAGGAAAGAGAAAGGGAAAAAAAACAGAAGTGCTAACGAAAACATAAACACTGCGGGCACGACCAGAAACGTGACCTAAAACTGCGGGGTTTTTTGGCTCGCCGGTGCGTGAGTGTGTTGAGGGCACATCTAACTAATGTGTCGAGCTTTTGTTTGCGCGTGACTCGAAGGTGAAGGAAGGGAAATCTGCGCAGAGGATTAACAAGTGCGGAGACTTTGGGCCTACAGTAACGTTAGAGGTAACACCGCTCGCTAGTTAGCTCTCCATTTTCTCGCAACGACCAATGTTTACATGTTGTCAACTCGGGTCAGCACTCATAACAGATCCGAAAATGACGTGTTGATCTCGTGTTTTTCGTGCACGACACATTACACCATATTTCCTCGTCGGGACGTTTTTGTAATCTTGAGAATACATCTCTTTGTTCAAACTGTAGAACCTGTACAACTAACGTTACTTGCTTGCCAACATCCGTGTGCGCGTGCAAAACTAGCCAGCAGCTTTTCTATTTTTGACCAGGGTAATGCCACAAAAGCAATTGCTAAGATTAGTTAGCACACTAGCTTGTCGCAGCCAGTTTACTGCGCACTATCAAGTTGTTATGTGGCATTAACACAAATGCACAAACACTTCTAAGTTGTTATCTAAGGGTCGTCTGCAGTTGGACTCAATTGTTATTGTACAAGGTAATGTCATGGTTTTTGCGATTTGAGGCAGGTGTTTACCATGCCAGCTATTTACTATGCAACCTTTAGCTGATGTCAGAGATCCTCTCAGTCACTGGATGGGGTCAGCACCATAGACTGTATAAAAACAGCACCATATGTCAAAATGGCAGTAATGCCTTTTTATGTTCATCAGTTTGAAGACTGCATTTTGTTCAGACCTCTAGTAATCATCGACTATATGAAATACAAACGTTAAATGATCTGTCAAGCATTCTTTAACAGTACCCTCAACTCAAGTTTTTTTTTTTTTGTCTTGAAAATAGTGTTATGTGGTGACTATCCAGTGTGTGATTGATTGAAGAAAGCCATTTTCTTTTTTTCTTTTTATAGGCTCTCTTCTGTCAGAAGGGACAGTTGGACAGAATGTGTGATACAGATGGTAAATCCAGTGTCCCAAATGGTAAGTAAACCATTAAGTAAGTAAAATCTGCCCAAAACTGAAAATTTTGTCCTTGTGCGGTACCACCCCAATACTGATTTCTTTTTGAGTAAAATACAAAAGATCTTAAGCAGAGTGCCTCATTCTCCATATGAGGAAAGTTAAAAAAGGTTAAAAAATCACCATGAAATATTGTAACAATAGTCTATGTGATTTATTCTCATTATTATGTGTCTTCTGAAGTCCTATGATCTTTGTCTGAGGAATAGACCAACATTTAAGTCACTATTAACTGCAGCTTTGACATTATTATTCATTATAACATCTCACTTTTTTGCTTCACGGAAGTTTACATGACATTATAACATCTCATTTTGTGCTTCACGGAAGAAAATTAAATTAAATAAAATGAGGTCAATGCGACATGAGAGTGAATAAAGTCTTGGGTGAAATGCTCATAATCTCTGATGTATTCAAATTATGGCAAAAGTAGCCAATTTTTATGTATGGGGCTTAATTTACCAGGTGGTTCTGATGATCCAGAACCTGGAGAAGGAAGAGAGGAGGCAGATACATCTGCAGCGCCAGAGGCCCAGACCAGTCCTGATTCAGGTATGGAAACAAATAGAGTACTAACTGTCATATACAGTACACTACTGTTCATGAGTTTGGGGTCAGTAAGATTTTTTAAATGTTTTAAAAGACATCTCTTGCACTCACCAAGGCTGTAATTTATTTGATCAGTAATATTGTGAAATATTGTTACAATTTAAAATAACTATTTTCTAGTTTTTTTTTAAAAATGTTATTTATTCCTTTGATGGCAAACCTGCATTTCCAGTCTTCAGTGTCACATTATCTTGTAGAAGTCATCTAATAAGCTAATTTGGTGCTCAAGAAACATTTTTTTTATTAGCAATGTTGAAAACAGTTGTGTTGCTTAATAGTTTTTTGGAAACCATGATACATTTTTTTTCAGGATTCTTTGATGAATAGAAAGTTCAAAAGAACAGCATTTATTTTATATAGAATTCCTTTGTAATATTCTAAGTGTCCTTACTGTCACTTTTGAGCATCCTTGCTGAATAAAAGTATTAATTAAAGAATATACCCTAAAATAACGAACTGGTGTGTATTTATGGAATCTTAGGATAATGTTAGAGTTACCTTGACAGCAGGATATGTAAATAAGCAGTGCTCCACTAATTGTTCAAGTTTTCTCTTGACAGCAAATTTGAGTTCAGCCCCAGAGGGAAGTGAGGATGGTCAGGACAGGCCGATGGCAAACTCTGAGCAGAAACAGGGGCCAGGAGAAGAGGAGGACACCAACAGCATGGATGGCAGTGGTCTGTACTCTCTCACTGAAGAAGGAGAAAGAGAGAGTGAGGGAGGAGGGCAGCGAGAGAGGGGAAAAGATGAAAGTAAGAGATCCACCAGGAAGAGGAATCGACCCAGTGGTGGAGCCACACGCCACTCTTCCAGTTCAGATGATGACGATGAAGACGAAGATGAGGAAGAGGATGCTGAGGAAGAAGATGAGCAAGCCATGGAAGCGTGGCTGGGAGCAGACCTGCGTGACCTGAGTCGCCCTTCCTGGTGCGCGATCCCGTCACTGCGTGCCCGAGAGATTGGCCGTGATTCGCATCAGTTTGTGAGGAGGGTGTGTGGGGCGCGAGGTCTAGTGCAGAGGCTGGAACTGCAGGGCCGTCTGGAGAAACACACAGGCTGCGTGAACACCCTCCACTTTAACCCCTCTGGCACCCGCCTGGCTTCCGGTAGCGATGACCTCCGCGTGGTGATCTGGGACTGGGCTCGCAGAAGGGCAGAGCTGGAGTTTGACAGTGGACATAAGAGCAATGTCTTTCAGGTGAAAAAGTGCAGTTCAGCTGACTGCAGATGTCTGAAGCTCTAGAATCTTGATTAAAAAAGTGGCACATTGCTGTGCCACTCCAAATTTAAGGTCTCTGATGGCAAACATTATTATCTTTCTTGTTAGAAAATAATAACAACATTTAAAAAACGGTTCCTGTACTGTAACACTGCTGTTCTAAAATTTGGAGTCAACAAGTTTTGAATGTTTTTGAAAGATGTCACTTAGGCCCTGTTTCCACTAGTGCGTTTTTGTTTTAAAACAGCGTTTTAAAATGAAAACGTTCCTCGTCTACACTTGCGTTTCAGGCATGTCACATGACCATTCATGCAGGTACAACAATGAGCATGATGTTATTGTTTACACGGTCGTCAAGGATACGCAGAGCGAATGTGGGCAGCCACGCCATCGTTTTCAAAAGTCTCAATTTTGGTTCGGTTTACACTAAAACGCAACCCCGGAGTTTTCAAACTAAAACGGGGTCTACAGCGTTTTCGAAAGTCGAAAAGTCGGCTCTCGAAAACGTGAGAGTAGTGTAAACGGCAGGCGTAACCGTAGCAAAAGTTATGCGTTTTAAAACTAAAGCGCACTAGTGTAAATGTAGCCTTATTCTCAGGATATGTAAATAAGCAGTGCTCCACTAATTGTTCAAGATTTCTCTTGACAGCAAATTTGAGTTCAGTCCCAGAGGGAAGTGAGGATGGTCAGGACAGAGCGTTGGCAAACTCTGAGCAGAAGCAGGGACCAGGAGAAGAGGAGGACACCGACAGCATGGATGGCAGTGGTCTGTACTCTCTCACTGAAGAAGGAGAAGGAGAGAGTGAGGGAGGAGAGCAGAGAGAGAGGGGAAAAGATGAAAGTAAGAGATCCGCCAGGAAGAGGAATCGACCCAGTGGTGGAGCCACACGCCACTCTTCCAGTTCAGATGATGACGATGAAGACGAAGATGAGGAAGAGGATGCTGAGGAAGAAGATGAGCAAGCCATGGAAGCGTGGCTGGGAGCAGACCTGCGTGACCTGAGTCGCCCTTCCTGGTGCGCGATCCCGTCACTGCGTGCCCGAGAGATTGGCCGTGATTCGCATCAGTTTGTGAGGAGGGTGTGTGGGGCGCGAGGTCTAGTGCAGAGGCTGGAACTGCAGGGCCGTCTGGAGAGACACACGGGCTGCGTGAACACCCTCCACTTTAACCCCTCTGGCACCCGCCTGGCTTCCGGTAGCGATGACCTCCGCGTGGTGATCTGGGACTGGGCTCGCAGAAGGGCAGAGCTGGAGTTTGACAGTGGACATAAGAGCAATGTCTTTCAGGTGAAAAAGTGCAGTTCAGCTGACTGCAGATGTCTGAAGCTCTAGAATCTTGATTAAAAAAGTGGCACATTGCTGTGCCACTCCAAATTTAAGGTCTCTGATGGCAAACATTATTATCTTTCTTGTTAGAAAATAATAACAACATTTAAAAAACGGTTCCTGTACTGTAACACTGCTGTTCTAAAATTTGGAGTCAACAAGTTTTGAATGTTTTTGAAAGATGTCACTTAGGCCCTGTTTCCACTAGTGCGTTTTTGTTTTAAAACAGCGTTTTAAAATGAAAACGTTCCTCGTCTACACTTGCGTTTCAGGCATGTCACATGACCATTCATGCAGGTACAACAATGAGCATGATGTTATTGTTTACACGGTCGTCAAGGATACGCAGAGCGAATGTGGGCAGCCACGCCATCGTTTTCAAAAGTCTCAATTTTGGTTCGGTTTACACTAAAACGCAACCCCGGAGTTTTCAAACTAAAACGGGGTCTACAGCGTTTTCGAAAGTCGAAAAGTCGGCTCTCGAAAACGTGAGAGTAGTGTAAACGGCAGGCGTAACCGTAGCAAAAGTTATGCGTTTTAAAACTAAAGCGCACTAGTGTAAATGTAGCCTTATTCTCACCAAGGCTGCATTTATTGGATCAAAAATACAGTAAAAACAGTAACATAATTATAATTTAAAAAGAACTGTTTTCTATTTTAAAGTGTCATTTGGACAGCTGAATTTGGTAATCAAGAAACATTTCTTATTATTAGAAGTGTTGAAAACAGTTGTGCTGCTTAATATTTTTGTGGAAACAGTGATTTTTTTTTCCACGATTCTTTGATTAATAGAAAGTTCAAAAGAACAGTATTTATGTAAAATGTTTTTTTTTTTTTTGTAACAATGTAGAAGTCTCTACTGTCACTTTTGATCAATTTAATGCATCTTAACTGAAAAGTTATTAATTTGCTTATAAATTGTACTGATCACAAATTTTTGAACAGTGGTATACTTTACAAGTGTTTTTGAATCTGTTCATGTTATAAAGATAACCACCATAAAAGCCACATCAGTGGTTTAGCCACTATCCAACTTATTTGTGATTTTCTTTCATTTCTATTGGGTTGTTGTTGTTGTTGTTGTTGGACAGAAACCTCTTGTTTGTGTGTATCCACTAAAGGTGTTAAATCTTAGTTTCAGATGTCTGGAAGAATATTTTAAAATGTATAGATTTAAATCAATGCATTCTATTATTAATTATTCTGTCCCCAGGCAAAGTTCCTCCCACACAGCGGTGACTCCACTTTGGCCATGTGTGCCCGAGATGGACAGATCAGAGTGGCCGAGCTTTCTGCCACACAACGTTGCAAGAACACCAAAAGAGTGGCTCAGCACAAAGGTGCAGCTCATAAGGTATGATCAACCAGAAAAGTTTTGTTTAATTGTATATTTAATAGAAATATTTTATGACAGACCGATTATTGAAAATGAATGATAACTCTGAGGTGTTTAAAGTTGTGGCCATTATTCTGGTGTGTATATTAATTTTCGAAATTGAATTGTTTTCAATTTGCTTCTTCCGTGGTTACCTCAAACCAAACAGGGTTGAAATCTGTGACTAGAGCTTTACAGTCACATACATTCATTAATCAACAGCTTGGAACATCTGTTGCCCAATCAGAATCAAGCATTCAATCTTATTGTGGTGCAAAAACAAAGGACATACTTCATATAATATCAAAAAGTATCATTTTTATTGATTTATTGCAAGTTATAAAAAGTGACTGCAATCAAAAAGTCACATGTAAATGCTTGTGATTAAATGTTTTTTTTATTTTTGTTCCTCTCTCAGCTTGCACTGGAGCCAGACTCTCCCTGCTCTTTCCTCTCCGCTGGTGAAGATGCAGTAGTGTTCCGCATTGACCTGCGTTTAGACAGACCTGCCAAGTGAGTGCACAGTCATGTCACAAATGTCACAAACAGCCCTAAGATTGCCAGAAGAAAAGAAAAGGAGCACTTCAGCAGAGTGACACAAGTGAACAGGGACAGGATTAGAAATACTACAAAGAATTGTATCAGCTGCTAGATGAGTCAGTGGAAGCTTTTCTCACAGGTTATTAATTATATGGCTTACTTAACAGTGGTACTTTTATATTTATATATGCAAGTGACATATCAATAGGATTTCGGTACAATAGTTAACCCTAACCCTAACCAGTGTGCAGGTTTCTCTTTGTGAGGTTTGGTTAGCAGTGACTGAAACGCAGCTTTACACACAACTGCCAGTCTGCATGGAGAGGATCTTGAGACTCCAGTAGCTTCAAACACCTGACTGCTGCTCAGCAGTGGCTTTTTTACAGCTGGCATTACAACACAGTTAATTTGTTTGACAGAAACTTTCCTTAATAAATCTTTATCTGACCAAGATCTTCTGACCAAGAAGTCACTCACAAATCTTTTGACAGTTCAATAATCTCTATTTGTTTTTCACAAAATATGATTTGTTTTGATGCCTTTTGCAAGACATTGCATTGTTTCATACTTTTCATCTTCAGAAAGATCTTTCTTCCTCACCATATCGCATGAGAACTGTGACTTGCTTAATAATGTGGAACAACCTCTTTAAGTAGGGTTTCCATTTACCTAAGAAGACCTGGCAAACTATTGAACAAACCTGTCTGAGATTGATACCAGCTACCTGAAATGATGTGAAAATCAAAACAAACAAATATCTGACTCTTTATTGTACCGAAATCCTATTGATATGT